GGCTCATGAAACCAAGCCAATGATACATTATCTCTCCTGTTGAAAGAATTGTGTGAAATGCCTCTTCTGAATCAAGCTTTTGGAGTCCCCTGCTAGAAAGACCTTCCCTGGAGGCAAAGCCCAGCCTGTTGAACTGGTCAGTATGTAGATTCATTGACAGTCACTCCACAAACAGTAAGCACCAGGTACCAGGCTCTGTTCTCAGTGCTTGGGCTACAGCAATGAATAAAAACAATTCCTTGCCCTTATGGAGAAATGAACCCAATGAATAAATGATATATTAGAAGGTGACAGTGCCAAGGAGAAATAGCAAGGGAGAGGGATAGACTGGAGGGGTGGTTCAGTGTGCAGTTTTAAACAGGCTGTTGGGGGAAAAAACACTGAAAGAGAGGTGAGGGAGCCAGCTATGTTTCCCTCCCAGGCAGAGGGAGAAGTGCAAGGGCCCTGAGGCCAGCACATGCCAGGAATATCGAGGAGGCCAGGGTGAACAGAGAGGAATAGAGTAGGAGATGAGGACAGATTGTGTAGGCCTTGTGAGGTCTTTTGCTTTTACTATGACTTCAGGAAGGGGCGTACTGGGGAAGAATTCTGCCCAGGGAAATTCAGGGTAGCTGTTTATATATATTAATTACTACTTGCACATTACCTTGCCATTGGCGAATAGAGCAAATTGTGTTTCCTGAAATCTACACAAAACCAGGTTAACATTAAATAATTCCATTTGTGAGCCTGGCCCAACACACCGTTCCCATAGACACACTCTCATGCTTGCAGGGTTCCTCCCAGATCCCTCGTCGTTAGAGTGCCCAGAGTGCTGACCTCCACTCCCTAGACAGGCCTGGAGTGTTTCCTTATTCTATTGACATTAGTCTGTACTCTGGGTAATCCTTTGGGCAGGAATGGACACGTCGAGGGCAGAGTCTGTAAATTGGGAATAATAAAAACAGTTTACGTTATCTAGTACTCACTACTTGCCAAATACTGAGCTGAGTTGTTAGATTCTTTCACTTAACCCTCATAACAACCCTGTGAGGTAGGTACTATTAGTGCCCCTATTTTACAAATCAGGAAACTGAGGCATAGATAAAGTAAATTTGCCCAAGACTACCTGGCTATGAGGTAATGAAACCTCACAGAAACTCAGGCATTTGAATCCAGAGTCCATATTCTTAACCAGCAAAGTTAAGTGAATGTAGACGATTCTTTGGTCTAACTTCCCCATTGCCAATTGTGCAAACGAGAAAAAGTTTAAAACTGAGAGGGAAGTGTAATGTAGGTTCCCCCACCACCAACAACAAATGAAATAAAGCTAAAGATGCACTTCTCACTTCATTTCTGGACACTTCTGTCAAGCAAAAGTCCTTACACTGTTATCGTTGAAGTGGTACCAATGATGAGATTCCTAAATGTGTTTTGTGCTAGACTCCCACATGGACCTACTCGTATTACAAACATTAGTCTCAGAGGTCATTTTTAGTCACCTAAAGGACTTTCACGGACTTTAAGCCCCTTTGAGTGTCCCTGCCTTTTTTCCCCTTATTTGTTTATTGTTTTTTAATTTGTTTTAGTTAATTCTTGCTCATCTTTGGTCGTTTTTAGTATCTTTTATTCCTTCTTATTGTTCATTTGAGTCCTTTTGCGGGCTATTCTAGTTTCTTTTTCTTTCTTTTTCTTATGGCCGTGTGTGGCACTGTTCCATCCAGTTTTTTTTCTTTTTTTTTCTTTTCTAAATTAGCTTGGGTTCTTTTGGGTTTTGCTGTGTTTTACTTTGGTTAGCATAGCTTAGCGTGGCACGTTTTTTTTCGTTTGTTTTTAGTTGGTGTTATTTGCATTCTTCTTTCTTATCCTTTCTGCTGGGTAGCGCTGTGCCGTGTTCTGACTTGTGTGCACCGTGTTGCTCTCTCTGTCGGTTTCTGTAGGTTTCTCACCTGTGTCGGCGGTGTAGGCGCTCTAGGGGGTTTTGTGGGCTTTCTTACCAGCGGTAGCTCCTTTATTTTCTTTATTTTCTGGTGGGGTTTTTGTTGTCTTTCTTGCCCTCCTTCCCCTGTTTTCCGTCTCTTTGGTCTCCGTTCTCCCCGGTCCTGGGCGGCCTGGGCACCCAGACAGGCTGGCAGCTCTGCCCTTTCTCACTATGGTCTCCAAGAGTTCTCAAAAGAAACCCCACTGGTCCCTTCATTTTTTACCCCTTGAGTCCTGTCTCAGTTATGTGTTTAACTGTGTCCCCTGAAAGGATATATTGAAGTTCTAATCCCCACTACCTCAATTAGTGACCTTATTTGGAGATGGGTAGTTGTAGATATAAGCAGTTAAGGTGAGGTCATAACGGAGTAGGGTGGACTCTTAACCCAATATGACTGGTGTCTTATAAGAAGAGGAGACCCAGAGGGAGGACAGCCATGTGACGACACAGGGACACACACAGGGGAGAACATGTGATGATGGAGGCAGAGACTGGAGTCATGCGTCTGCGAGCTAAGGAGTGCCAAGGATTGCTGGGAACAACCAGAGGCTAGGGGGGAGAGAGAGAGAGAGGAAGTACGACCCTGCCAATATCTTGATTTCAGACCTCAAGCCTTCAGAACTAGACAGAAAAAAATTCTGTTGTTTTAAGCCACCTGCTTGGTGGTACTGTGTTCTGACAGCCCTAGAAAACTAATAACACCAGCCCAGGGCTAATCTTAGTTTTTAAACTCTCTATTAGATTGATACAATTTCCCTAACCAGCGGCTCATGGTTTCTCAGCTGAGCAAGCACAGGTAGAGAATGGAACACGAAGACCCCGTCTTTCCCCAACCTATACCCTATTAAAGGGAGAGAAGGATTTGCAGGTCTCAGCAGAGATACCAAGGGGAAGCTTATCACGTGTATGAATACAATAGAACCTCTGTGGTGGAAAGTTAAATATTAAATACGAAGAAAAAAGTTGAGAGCGGCCAGTTTCATTGTGGTTAAATGTGTTTCCCAACTGAATCTGCTCTGTGTAAGCAGGTGCTCCTGGGTGGCACCGTGGCGACTTCCCACCTGGGTCCTTGCCTCTATTCCTCAGCTTCACAATCAACTTAATTACCTGTCAGCACCTCCACACTTGGGTGCAAAGGCTGTAAATTCACTGTCTGCTCTCACGTCCCAGTGGTGGTAAAAAATAGATGATGAACCAAAGAAAGAGGAAAAAGGCCATGACTCCGCGATTCCATGGTAAACCCCACAGCCCACAGGAAAGCCCTTGTGCTTTTTTATAACTGCACCATGAGGAGAGATTGGAGTCCTCCTACTCGCTAAAAGGATCTGGGTGTGTGTGTGTGTGTGTGTGTGTATGTGTGTGTGTGTGTGTGTGTTTGTTTGGTGTCTATACAGAGGTGGGGGGAGGGGTAAAAAGGAAAGAAAGACGTAAGTTACACAGGCCAAACCTTTCTATAATAGATGTTGTACAGTCTTTAAAACACCCAACACCGTCCCCCCGCTTGCCTCCCTTCTTTTTACCACAATCTGTTTTTAATGAATCATCCACAGTTTTTTCAACCCCCACACTCCAGACTGTCCATTCTGAATGCTACCCTAGACAACAGTAATAGCAAACAGTCATTGAGCATTTACTCTGTGCCAAGCACTATTGTAAGTGCTGACATATATTAACTCATTTAATGCTCACAACAACCTTATGAATTGAAAGTAATTATCCTGTTTACAGCTAAGGAAAGGTTAAGAAATTTCCACAGGGTCACAGAGCTGGTAAATGACAGAATTAGGATTTGTGCCTCTGTAGTCTAGTTCCAGAGTCCAAATTTTAAAAAAAAATTTTAACTTCTTTATTATGGAAAACTTCAAACATAAATAAAAGTGGGAAAAATTATATAATGAATTCCCATGTAATCACATCAATAATTATCAACTCACAGGCAACCTAGTGTCATCTATATCCCCACTCACTTGCTCCTTTCCATGTTATTTTGAAGCAAATTCCAGATATCATATCATTTTATCCATAACACATACTTTTTATGTATCTTTAAAAGATGAAGACTCTTTAAGCAAAATCACAATATGGTTATCATGTCTAAAAAATTAAAGAACAATTTCTTAACATTACCAAATATCTCATGTTCAAATTCCCAATGGTCTCATAAGTATTGTAATTATTTTAAAGTATATTTGTTTGAATCAGGATCCCAATAGGGTCCACACATTGCAATAAGTTGACTTTTTTTTTTTTTTTTTTTGAGACAGAGTCTCACTCTGTTGCCCAGGCTAGAGTGCCGTGGCATCAGCCTACCTCACAGCAACCTCAAACTACTGGGCTCAAGCAATCCTACTGCCTCAGTCTCCCCAGTAGCTGGGACTACAGGCATGCGCTACCATGCCCGGCTAATTTTTTATATATATTTTTAGTTGTCCAGCTAATTTCTTCCTATTTTTTTAGTAGAGATGGGGTCTCGCTCTTGCTCAGGCTGGTCTCAAACTTCTGAGCTCAAACGATCTGCCTGCCTCAGCCTCCCAGAGTGCTAGGATTACAGGCATCAGCCACCACACCCAGCCTGGTTGATTTTTAATCTCTAAGTTTTCCTTCCACCTGATTCTTCTTCCCCCCCTTGCAATTCAGTTGTTGGCCGATCAAGGTCTTTTGTCCTGGAGAGTTTTCTACAATCCACACTCTTAACCACTACATGGGTCTGCCTCTGGGGTATGATATTATGGACTTCTTATCCCATAAATTTCAGAGAGGGGAGAGCTCAGTAGACCCTTCCTGGACCCACTGGAGCTTACTCATTAACTCTGTGAAATTATAAGTAAAATCTGTACTTATAATGTGAATATGTGCATTTGGGGGAGCAGAGTACACAGTTTTACAGGATTTTCAAAATGATGATATTGCCCTATAGAGATATAAAAGATTTCAGGAGTTTTGCAGGACTTTGCCCTGAAGGAATATGTGAACGTGTTAGTTCACATATCAAAAGCTGCCTCGCCTCAGGAGGGCATCTCACGGATCAGTAGCACTTTCCATGGCGATGCTGTCTCAGATCTGTTGGCTTGCTCCTGACGCTTCTGTACGACAAAGCTTGGTATGGGACCACAGGTTGAGAACTGATCAAAGAGTGCCCACCAGACAGACACCTGTGACTAAAAGCAATTAGCCCAAGGGACAGTTGCTGCTTCACTCCTTACTACCTGTCTCAATCAACAAAAAACTAGGTAAAGAAATATAGAGCCACTATATTTCTGTTTAGCCTCTCTGCTAAGTGATAATTTTATCTTAGAACTCAGAAGTTTGTCTTAGAAGGATTTTGTAACCGTTTGCTCACGTAGATAGAGTTAATTAAGGGATATCTATAAGCTTTTTGGGAGACTTTAAACCTAAACAAACTACCTGTTATTATGTAAATCTGTTACCCCTGGCAACCAATCGCTGTACCAATAAGTACTGATGTGGGACATCACTCGTGGACTCACAGGTCACAGGAATGCTGGAGGACCCCTGGCTCCCCATCTTTATAAAACTGTACTTTTTCCTAGCTCTCTGGGAGGCCGAGGCGGGCGGATTGTTTGAGCTCAGGAGTTCGAAACCAGCCTGAGCAAGAGCGAGACCCCACCTCTACTAAAATTAGAAAGAAATTAATCAGCCAACTAAAAAAAAAACATATAGAAAAAATTAGCCAGGCATGGTGGCGCATGCCTGTAGTCCCAGCTACTCAGGAGGCTGAGGCAGGAGGATTGCTTGAGCCCAGGAGTTTGAGATTGCTGTGAGCTAGGCTGACGCCATGGCACTCACTCTAGCCTGGGCAAAAGAGTGAGACTCTGTCTCAAAAAAAAAAAAAACAAACTGTACTTTTGTTCCTGTGTCTTCTTTTATTCCTCTATTCTCTATTTTCTATTTCTATTATTTCCTTATCCCTTGCGACGACCCCAGCCAAAGGGACCCAATTTTTGCTGAGAGCATAGCTAACTCCCCACATTATCCCATGACCCCAAGCCTATAAAGCAATGAATGTCCAGGCTTCTAATTTTAGAGATGAAAAATAGGAGACTTGGGTAGATAAATTGTCTAAACTCACACAAATGTTCCTAACACACTTAGGATAAGAATGTGGCTCTCAGAACCTAACCTGATATTTCACTTTCTGTTACACAGTGCATATGTGAAGGGTGAAAAGGAAAAGTGGCTTCAGATGTGGAGGGGAAAGGAGGTATCAAAAGTCATTTCCCCATTGCTTCAAAGTTGCCATTTACTTGAATTAAAGGATTCACTTCCTGTGCACATTTGGAATCTAGCATTGTAATTAATGTTACTACCACACCATTCTCACATTTGTCTTTGCATACTTGTTCACACTGTTGAGAACTTCATTATGCCACAGATGTCTCACAGGATGCCAAGATCAATGACCTTTCCTGTGCTAAATGAGGGATGTCTTTCCCAGCTGCAAGAGGAGTTAGGTAGAGTCTAAGAAATAGTTGGGAACCAGCCATTAACTGATAGTTCCTTAATCTCTTTTGGTCTGGAGATTTCTCATTAGTAAAATGAATTGGCTACATCATGTCAATCACTTGCCAAGCACTTTTTCTGTGACCACGATATACTCACAATATGACTATGTGTCTTTGTATATATATTGAAAATATTTTCACTGAATTATTCTTACCCATACAACATGGGATGCATCCTGACAGTTTTTTTTTTTTTTAATGTCTGGTTGTAGTCACAATTCATTAAGTTGATTTTAAAAACTACTGTTGAGGATCTGCTGGTAGTTTGAAAAATACTTTATCAGATGATCTCTGAGTTGTTGTTTATTCATTTGGTCATTATTCATTGGTCAGTCATTTTACAATTGTTTAATGAGTATCTATGAGGTTAAAGACACTGTGATGAGAGCTAGGAAAATGGCAACAAAAAAACAAAGAACCTATTCTTATGAAGCTTATATCCTGTGAAGTGTGTTTCATGAGCTTTGAAGAGGGAAGGGAATTCTAACTGAATCAGCTAAAGCCATTAAATGCATTTGACTTATGGGAGGAAAAAGCATCAGAAATACAGGTTTTTTCCAAACCCCAGGCAGTAGTCCACAGTGACTAAAATAGTTTAAACCCAAGTTGTGTGATTTTGTGTCAAACGAAGATTTCCTATGTGTCCTAAATCTGCTCCAGAATCTGCTTGGCAATCATTGGATGTTTCTCTTTTTGCCATACTTTGCAAAGATCAATGTTGTTGACTGGGCCCGCATTTTAGGTAAGGATTCCAGAGACCATGGAGTGATGGAAATGAATGCTAGAGAGCACTCTGACTGAGGGACACTTCCTGGCCATCTTATCTTTGTATTTACACACTTACCACACCTCCAGTATTTGCAAAACCTGAAGGTGTGTATTAACAATTCATCATTTGGGGTTCCCCCTCCTCCCGTCTAGAAGTCTTGCTGTAACAATTTTATCCAGCAGAGGGAAGCAGAACACCAAAATCACTGCAGAAATAATCCAGAACACATGGGCACTGAAGAATAAGAATGTCATTAAAGTATTAAAACCAAGTCTGGGTAAAGCCAGCTCTGGGCAAAATGCTGAAAGGGGAGACGTTTATTTTAGGTGACAGCTTGTGACCTGTCCCATCAGGACATCTCCCATCAGGATTCCCTGGGAGACGTCATCCAGGCCATGAGGCCTTGTTTCAGGCTTGGCTGTCAGCAGTCAGACCTTTCCATTTTTTCCATTCCCCAAGCTTTGAAACACCTGCTGAAAATCATGCAACATTTCTGTGGTCTTCTGAGTCCAGGCTTTATGCAATGGCCTTTCAACCATGACACTTCTTACTTTAGCTGCCAGGGATAATCAGATTCCTGCCCTCTCATATATATTCCACAAACTGGGAAATGGTGGGTACAAACGGAAGGGCAATACAAACCGAGTGGTAAAAATGAGATATAAACTCTTAATGATACCAAACCTTCAGGTTCCAGGGTCTAGGCAGTTTTCTGAAGCCCTGTCTTTTTTATTTTTTCCTTCTTTACGTACCTGTCCCTGTGCTTTTTAGCACTGATGCAACACTGCCTGGCTTCCCCTCCTAAGAGATGATAGCATTTTTAGGAGGTCATAGACCAACAGAAGTTTTCTTCACCATGCATTTCTGAGGCCCAAAAGTAGTTATTAATAAAACACGCTTCATAACCATTTAACTAGGGTGCTCTTCTGGGAAAGAAAGGCATCTGAGTAGAGGGCACTCTTCAAATAGAAACAGATTCCGTAATGACAATAGGCTTAGGCATGACTCACCCTTTCCAGCCCCACAAGCTCCTTCCTTACCCAACCCAGGAAATACAGATCTAAGTGCAACCAGGCAGTTAGTCAAGATAGGCTCTTTGCAGTGTGTCCTAATGCCATGGGATTAAGAAAGTGAGGAGGGGGAGGGATCATAGAACTTGTAAGAGTTTAAGGTTATTATGAAGAGTCAGTGAGAATAATAGTTATCAGTGATTCCGGGTAATCAGCATCAATGAGGTAGAGAGAAGTGGAAGAGGCGCCTTCTTTTTGAAAGGTTGAACTTACCATCTTGACATACTCTCCCAGTGACCGGCTTCCATCCTAGGTTGGTGGCTAAGGTATAATGCAATGGACAGGTACTTTTAAGTTTTCAGAAACTTCAACAATGCTAATCAATTCATTGAAGTTTTTAAAAATGTATTAAATTGTTGCATTAAGATAATGTACCAACAGATAATGAAAAGAAAAAAGGTTTTAAAAGGTTAAAAAAAAAAAAAAGGACAAGGAAACAGAAGTAGTAAGGGAAGAGGAAGAGTTAGAAAAGAAACATTTTGGGCAGAGTGTGGTCGACCGGCATCTGTAGCTGCTTCAGGTGTCACTTATTGCATTCATGTCCTGGGCCTCTTGAGCTTCACGCCAATTAGTGAAACCCAACAGGGGGGATTTTCTCTGACAAGCAGCAATAAAAGTAGAGCTGCTGTGTGTATTGGCAGTAAACTACCCATGACATTGAGCTATGCCTTCTGTGTCAGGCTTACTACTCTATCATGTTCCTAAGCTGGCTTGTCAGAAACACCTGTTATAAAAATCAGATTCCTGTCCCCGACTTCAGACCTAATGAATCCAAATCTCCGGGGACCTGGGTTTTCTTTGCTTTTTGTTTTTATTTTTAAGCTCCTCGGCGCTGATTAAGTCTCCCCCCCCCACAATCCCCACCCCGAAAATGTTTCAGGAATAGGATTACATTTATTTCAAGAAAAAGTAATTTAAATAGGTTTTGTGAAAAGCACCAAAGGCAAGAATTCTGCCGGCAATGTTTCACCCCACTTATTTGATTCTTTCTTACAATTTAGTTTTTCTCTTTGAACGAGCTGCGTTTCCCTTTGTGGTTCTAGATCTTTTCATCGCAGCTGCAGGTATAAATGAGAGACTGAGATGAACAGCCTCCAGCTCCTCAGTCAACAAATACTAAGTACCTACTGTAATGCACCGTGTCCCTCAGCAAATATTCAAAGCCTGGCCTACAAGAAGGCCTACAAGAACGGAGAGGGTGCTAAGTAGAATAAAGAAAGCTGAAGGAGGCGGGGGAGGGAATGCAGCAGTGGGAAGATTAGGGACGAAATGGTTGCATTAGTTCATTGACCATCCCTGAGCAACATAAATACAATCATGAATAATTTGCAGCTCCTGCCTCTGAGAAGCATGGGTCTGGGGTAGTAACACTTTCATTCGGACCAACCATTTACACTTCTAGGACCTAGCTGGGAGATAAGAGGTCTGACCTCACAGCGCCGGCGGCGCGCAGTGAGATCGGCGAGGACTGGGGTG